CGGTGGTGATGGTGGTGGACGGTGGTGGTGGTGAAGAGAAGTAGAAGAAAAAAATGGAGAAGATGTTAGAAAACATAGGTTAATGTCTTCTTCAAGAAGATGCCAGGAAGACCTTTTTGAGTGAAATGTCTTCTAAAAACAAACAATCTGCAGAGCTCAACATCTGCTCGCGTCTGCGCGGCGCAGACAAAAGAGGCCAAAAGCTCTTCTGGCCAAAAAACAAACACCCCCTAAGTGATATCTTCGTACAATTTTTATCAACCATGATACACAATTCTACTATGGAGTAATAAGTAAGATTACTAAAATATCTAACACACCATGTGTCTAGCATATTGTCCGGAATTTTGACTTGAGTAGGATTTTTATTATTAGAATGTGGCATGTGGTTGTGATCCTTTTCCAAGTGTCTGATTCATGTTTTTATTGTAATGCCCACACTGCGTTATTCTAAATCTATTACCCATACCGATGCAACGAAAATTAGCCATACAATGGAAGTTTTGAATTTAACTTGGTCAGATGTAACTGACTTTTTAAAATCCCCTTTCATCTATTTTTTTCTGTTCTGGTTTGGTAATTGGTTCAACACCTCTTTTTACATATTGATACAAGCTTGATTCTATTTGGAGCCCCATACTCATAATACATTAACAAGCACCAATCTTGCGCTTTTTTCATTTTCATTTCATTTTAATAGAATATCAAATTTATAGAAATGTTTTGCTTGAGATTATACGAGCCCGTGCGAAGCACGGGGTAAAAACCTAATTAACGTATAAGTTAAAGTTCAATACTCTTTCCGTCCAACAATAATATTTTTGTTCACTATTCACATGGCTAAACTTTAATCACTTTATTGGCTTTTTCGTTGCCCATTTGATAAAATATTATAGTCATGTCATCTCCAATTTTGTATTTCTTTTGTCTCAAAATAAATTGCTTGTTTATTATTTACATTGTCAAACTTCATTAACTTTCTTTTCTTATTTTGGTTAGTAATTTGATAAAACAATATAGTCATATCACTAATAGTTTTATAAATCTTTTGATGTAATTTTTAAATATATAATTTTTAAACTTTTTAAATTTTACATCGTTTTTCATATAAAATGATTTGAAAATAACTTCAATCAAACATCGTAAACTGAAACAAACGATTTAAATTTGGACGGAGGTGTATATCTTTTCATGTAATTTTTAAATATGTAATTTTTATTTTTTTTAATTCCATACCATATCTTTATATAAAATGATTTGAAAATAACTTCAATCAAATATAATAACGCGCAACGGAAATATTATTGTTAGACAGGAGTATTCTTTTGTGAAAATAAAATGACTTAAATGATAGATAAGTCATTTTAAATAATCTGGTTAAAATAGAATTTTGAAAAAGTCTACTTTATAAAACAGAGTAAGTAAAACCTACTTACTTTTTTTAGTTTATAAGCCGCTTATAAATCAGCTTATAAGCATAGAGAAACATGTTATCAACTTACTTCTAAGTTGAAACAGCTTATAAACAACCTTGACCAGCTTATAACCACAGGAAAACACTCACTAATGTTGAATGCTAGAGAATAGCGTGAAAATTGGGTGGGAAATGTAGGACCAACATGGAGCAATGTCCCAAAGCTGAAAATTTATCAGTTAATAATATTCAAGGGCATTAACACTAATGAATAAGTATCCAAACAATAAGCATCCAAATCAACACTAGCAAGAATTCAACAAAACATTAAATATCCAATTTGAGAGGATGGGTGCTTGTAGCATAGTTAAGACACCATAGATGTAACACGCGCGCCCATAATTAGCATTTGACTTTACTTCAACCACCATCCTTAGCTGCAAGATAAAATGGAAGCTTGACCAGGAAGTACTGCTCCTTGATACACTGATAGACCAAGATCATGCTTCTCACTGCCGCTTGTATATTAAACATTACACTTTTCAATGCAACTAGTTAATACCAAAGTCAAAGAGATAAAGACTGAACATAATGATGCAAACTATCTTAGCGGGTTCATCGACATTAAAAATACCATGATGCTCAAACGGTGTTGAAACAAAATATTTTTTTTAGGGAGAGACAGATGAGTAATAGAAGCCGCTGGTGTTTTTTATGTCTTTGAACTGATACAAATGTGTACCTATTGGCATAAAGAAACACCATGAGGGGTGGGCAGACACGAGATATGGGTCCCGGGGGAAGTTGATGTTTTCTGCCTCTTCGTACATATATTTGAACCTGAGGACAGAAAGGAATAATATGAGTGCTCTGAGCAACTGATGCAGTACATGTGTGCATGACAGATCTGTTTTTTTTTCTTTTCTTTTCTTTTTTCTCAAACGTGTTGTGTTTGAGAAAAGAGCATCGGTCTATAAATCAAAACACAACTAGCATCTGAACAAAAGAAAAAAGCAACAAGCAAGCAATACATAAATTAGAAGGGGACTGAATCTTACAGTCTATCAAAGTATTATAAGCAACCTCAGCAGCATTCATCTCAGCTTGCTTTTTGCTCTTAGCTTCATGCCCCTGGAATGTTTCTTCACCAACTTGCACAGTGCTTATGAAAGAAGCAGCATGAGGTGGACCACACTGGATTGTTTTATACACAGGGAAAAGGTGCCCCAGTTTTTGTGCAAGTTGCTGTAAAAGGGTCTTGTATAGACCTCCACCCTGAGATCCATTCAGAATGGCACCAAGTATAGTTTATTTATTTTATTTAAGGAAATGTGAAACGAATAGGTAAAGCAGATAACAGAATCTGATAGTAAATATTAGTGTAAATAGATTCTAGAGTCTAGCCTTTTGAATTTCAACGGGTGATAATGCCTCAAGAGCAACTTTCGCAGCTGCTTGTTCAGCTTCTTTCAATGTACGGAAATATTGTGGACTTTCATAGATGTTTCCAGCAATAGCAACTTTTGATCTAAAGAGGCGCTCATGTGGTGGTCCTTCGGTTTCAGTAGAATAATAAGGAAGAGTCATCCCCTGCTTCTGAGCATATTGTTGAAGCCGATTCTTGTAGATATGTAGTACATCTAAAGAAGCACCAACAAACCAATTAAAATATTAGTATTATTGTTGTTATAGCTTATTCTGTGTTTTTTCTATTTTTGTCTAATAATAGGCTGGTTTATTTTTTACTCCCTCGGTCCCAATTTTTTTTACCCACTTTATCTTTATGGATGATCCAAATAACACTTCCCACATACTTTATTTCCTTTTTTAGTAAAGAGCGTGTGGCTTAAAAGATTTCTCTCCATAAACTTTTCGCTTTTCAACACTTTTATTTAACTCCGTGAAAGTCAAATTGTGTATAAGTTTTTAAAAAAGGGGGAGGTATGTTAAGATCTTACACTCATTTGTGTTATTTTAGCTCTATTGGATATGATAATTATACCTTATGCTAACAATTTGTTTGAAGTATGGCCTTTGAACTAATTTATCTATTATTTAACTGTTTGACAAGGATCCCTCCTATCCCTACTTTCACAAAGCATAAACGCTTGCCTAGCAAAAGCTACAAAACTAGAACGACTTGATGCACCTGTAAGCAAACTAGGATGGGCTGCACAAATACAAATTTGCAAAAGCCAAGATGTAATCAACATGAAAGCAGAACATGTGCATACTATATTACAATTCATAGCTCGTTACTTAGAATATTAATCACAATGCGCAAATAAGAAAGCAAACCTGAAGATTTATATGTCTCTCTACCCGCCAATGGTGTTGAACTGAAATCAGGTGTTTGTTCATTTCTTTCATTGTTTTGCACCCCATCAGTATTGTCTGCTGAAATCCAACCAAACTATAGACAAATTGGAAAATGCTGTACAAACTTTAAAAAAAACCATTGGTCTATTGCAACAAATATTTATGAAGGTGCTATAGCCAAACTTGTGCACCAAGATGATTTAGGACTAATAACCACCTGCTTGCGTGCAGAATTGCAGATTATGTAGACGTACATGTCACACCTCCAGAAGATTACTGACCACTATTACACTTATGCAGACTATAATTATAAGGAAAACTACTGTTCAAGAGTTAGCCACAAGGCAGGAGGCCATAGGGTCATGCCCAGGTAACTGGAGGTTCAGAAAAAGTCATTTTCTTCACTTCTCATAAAAATATATGCACGTGTAGACAAGGATGTTTTAGGAATATCAATAGCCAATATGGTCAATGACGGTGCTCATGCAATATATACACAAAAGATCACAGTTCCAGAAAACAAATAAGCACAACAGCATGCTGCATATTATATTCTCCCTTTGTCCCATAATTTTGTTCCTACTTTGACTTTTGAGGTCAACACTGATAAACTTTGACCAAAGCTTATGTGAAAATACATTGAATTACAATGCAAAATCAATACCATTATATTTTTTTAGATACTCCTCGATTGAAAATATCAACAAATTGTCAGGTCTAGAGCGTTCAGTTTAAAAGTATCAAACTACTTGCAAACATAAGACACCAGTCAGATTTACAAACCTCTACTCCACAAAAATAAACTCAATTCAGCTTGGATAACATTCAAGGCACCAAGACGATGCACAGTGCCAGTGTGTACTGCCCAGACACCTAGTTGCCTAGCCGACCGCCTAGGAGACAATTAAGCGACATTGTAATAAATGAGAATTCTTCTACATAGCTAACATTAATATAAATATATTAATTTTATGGAATACATACTAATATTTTGAAATTCATAAAACTTAAAGTTAAGTTTAATGTCCATACCAAACAAAATACGTACTTTGTAACAAAGTTAAAAACAAATTAAAATCAACTTTAAAACATATGTTAAAAATCGGATATTTAGAGAAGTGCTTTTCAAACACATAGTGCTCCACTGCTCCAAAAGGGAGGCTTACTGCTCTAAATTCTAAAATAAACCAGAACTCAAATACTATGTAGTGTTAATTCTTTGATTAATTCTTTGATATACTCCATGTATATACAACAACAAAGACTTATCCCACTAGGTGGCGCCAAGTTTTCTTAAGCCTACCATTTCTTCTAGCCACGTGTCTGTTTTCCATTTGATCCACCCTTCTCACTAGATATTCTATAGGTCTTCTCTCCACATATCCAAACCACCTAAGAAATGCTTCCACTATCTTTTCAACAATAGGTGTCATTTAAAGTTTTGCTATCAAATCTTCATTCCTTATTCTATCCATGCACGTATGACCGCTCATCCACCGGATCATCTTCATTTCGACCACACTAACCTTGTGTTCGTGTTCATCTGTTGCTGTCAATCGCATTACACTGGTCTAATCGCATTACAAAAAAACTTTCCCTTGAGTTTTAAAGGTACTTTTTGTCGCATATAAAGTTCGACAAACTCTCCCATTTCGACAGTGCTTGAATCCTGTGGTTTACATCATCCTCTATTTCTCCATTGTCCTCAATGATACACCCAAGGTACATAAATCTCTTCACTTGTGGTTTAGTATCTTCTCCAACTTTCACCTCAATATTAATATTTCCTCTTCCGTTGCTAAACTTACACTCCATATACTCTGTTTTATAGTGACTAATACGGAAGCCATACAACTCCAAAACTAGTGTAAAAAGATATGGTCTTAGCGATGACCCTTAATGTAATCCTACACTAATGGAAACATTCCTAGTAACCCCACTTTGGCTTCTCACAATTGTGATAGCACCATCGTACATGTCCTTAATCACACGAATATAAACAATCCTTACTCCCTTTTTCTCTAACACCTTCCATAATATTTCATAAACAATCCTTACTCCCTTTCATAATATTTCATAATTGACCAGGAAGAAGGAAATATTATGTGAATGGAATCCACAAAATATTGCATGAATGGAGCAAATGAAGACTTTCCTTTTCCAATTATTTTTGTGAAGACTTTCCTTCCATGAAACATGCACTTATGGAATGATAATACCCCCTCCATCCACGTGTAATCGTCCAGTTTGATTTTTTTGAGTCAAACCTGGCAAACTTTGAATCTCAATTAAATAAAAATTGTAATGTATTTTAGTATAAAAATTATTTCAATAGATTCATCTTGTTGAGAACTATTAAAATTTTAATTTGTTATATTGATATGCAACACAAATTAAGAGTAATTGATAATTAAAATTTGTCCAGTTTGACTTGAAAAAATCAAATTAGACGAATACACTGGGACAAAAGAAATATATTTAAAGGGAGCTAATTTTTGAAGATGGATGATCCGAGCTTTCCTTAGTATAATTACATATTTACTTAATGTGGTGGGATGTACCAATTACCATATACATCTGGATAGAACATTACTACGTACTCTTTTTAGACTTATCATGGTTGATACTTGTGGCATCATTAATCTCTCAAGGCCTAGTGGCGAGATTTAATTCTCTTATTGAGTGTTGTGGAGAGAACATCTCTTAACAGTTAACATGTTTGCCGAAGTGTGATGAGTCATTTATCCATATAATAAAATCCAAAAAAATCATTCACACAAATTCTTCTACACCCCACTTATGCCTTTTCCAAAACAATAAAAGTCATGTTTAAATCTTTCTTCTCACTTCAGTACCTCTCCATCCCATCGCCAAGTATATAGCCTTTGTAGTTGACCTTCCCGGTATAAAACCAAATCGGTTACCACCCTTTCCCACAGCTTTATTGTATGACTCATGAGCTTGATCCCTTTGAGGTTTCCATAACTTTGAATATCTCCCTTATTCTTGTAAATAGAAACCAAAAAAGCTCTACCTCCATTCGTTAGGCATCTTCTTAAATCTTAAAATCTCATTAAAAAGCTTAGTTAGCACCAAATACCTTTTCCTTTCAAAACTTTCCAAACCTCAATTGAGATGTTGCCTAAGCCCATTGTTGTGCCATTCTTCATCTGTTTTAGCACCTCCGTAACTTCAAACTCTCAAATCCTTCAATAATAATTGAAATTTTGGTCCTCCTTCCTCGTGTGTAGCCGATCAGAGCATGATAGATACACATGACCCTCATTAAATAACTCATTGAAATAGCTTTTCCACCATTCGTCAATGCCTTCATCAGAGACCAAAACCTCACAATTTTTATCTTTAATGCCTTTCACTTGGTCTAGATCACGCATCTTTCTTTCTCAACCATATGCAATCTTGTAAATACATCTTTCCCCTTCTTTTGTACCCAATGACTAGTAAAACCCTTCATAAACTCTCATTCTTGCTTCACTTACTGCCACTTGTCTCCTTAGCCGTCTTACACATCTCCTAATTTTCCACATTACAACACAAAGACCATTTTGTGTGTATATGGAGTATATTTTTTTACAGTAAAATTGACATCCAATCCAGAACTATCACCCATCCGTTGGACCATCCCAACCCATAAAAGTAAAACAAAAAAGATAAATCAGATAATTAAAAGAAAACAAAGAAAGGAACAGAGTCAAAGTATCGAAATGATGGATCTGTCAACGACAAACGCATACGGCAATGACGATAGTGGTGGCGGAAGATCTACTTTGGAAGCAGAAACAACGGATCTATGTTGCAATGGTGACACTGGAATATTTGAATTTGGAATTTGGCGGCCATAGATTAGGGTTTTTGAATCTCACACCAGCCTTCCTTATCAGTCGTTAGGCGTCTTTTGGCAACCTACTAGACACTCAGGCATCCCTAAGGCAATGCTAAACGTAACCAGGCAAAATATGGGGAGGCAAGGTTCCACAGCGTGAGCTCTATACCACCAGGACCGCCGAGGAAACGACTAGGTGATGCCTAGGGGATGCCTTGATAAATATGATTCAAACTCTGACACTTAAAACTATGATTGTTCTATAATTGAATGCGGCATAAAGATTAGAAAATAATTAAATGTTCAAATAATTAATTGTGTTAATGGCTTAAATGTGATTTCCCAAATATACATGTTTTTTGTCTCAACTCTCATCAAAGTTTTTTAATCAATAGAATGAATTTCATAATTTAATTGAGGTTTAAAATTATTGTCCCAGTCTAGGATTCAAATTTATATTTCCATAAACTGATATCGTGCTATATCCTTGGCCTTCTTGAGCCCTTCTTCGACACCAAAAAAACACATATTCTAATACCTTATTACATATTCACATCTTTCTTAACCATTTCCATATCCCTTCAATCCACTGACCTCCATTACTTGGGGTGTTTTGTCAAAAAAGTGAAATAAATGAATAAAAAGATAACCTGCACTTGATGGGAAAAGGCCTTCCTGGGAGACTGTCTTGACACCAGTTAAGTGCTCTAGGGCAACACAAGCAGCAAGGCTGGTTGCTTCTTTGGAAGAGCGACTTTGGTTGTGTGGAGTTTTGAAGGGAACTCCATTGACAATGACGGTTGAAGTAAACTGGGGCCTGTGATCGGGTCCTTCTTTCACGGTCGTGTACTCAGGCGGTTTCCATGCCCGCATACGGCATAACTCTTGCAATTTTGACTTGTACAAAACTCTACCACCTGCAGACTCTTTGGTGGATAAATGATTAACTTCTCATAAAGGAAAAATAAAAATAGTACAAGTAAAATTATTCTTTGACTATGAATCAAATAAAAGTAAAAAATAACCTGTAGAGATTCCCTGTGGAGATGAATGACTCTGATTCTGTGTTTGCTGACGCAGGGGTGTATGAGGTTGGGGGGTATCAACCAGAGCTAAAATAGAATAAAAATTATTGATCACAATTTAAGTTATTCTGACTGTATACAAAATAAACAGTACTAGATACTTGAAAACTAGTCTTTTCTGCGCCTTAAATAGAAGCGAAAGGAATAAGTAACCAGTAGAGATCTCCTCTGCAGTTGCAGATGAATGATTATAAATCAGTGCTTGCTGAGGGGCTGGTGAATGGGGTTGGGGGCCATCGAGCAATTCTGAAACAGAAAATATTGTATATCATAATTTATTGTTATTACTTTATTCTTAAAAAAAGCGTGCCCCGGGCGCAAGGCGCGCAAAGGCTATAGCAATAGCGCTCCAGGAAGTGCTGGGCAGCATATGTTCCATAAGGCAGGCACTTCAGTTGTTTTTTTTGCAGATACAGGTTAGATTTTTTATATTGGAGTAACATACATTATTTTGGAAGGAAATCAACACACAAATATATTTCTTGGAGGGAGGTAAGCATATTTGTGCAATATTAGAGGGAAAAAAATAAGCATTGCAAAATGATCTGATATAGGATGCTTGGAAGATGTAGAAATGTAACCATTTTGGGTCAAATATGAAGGATCATTTGTGATTGTTTCTTGAGGCAGATGTGATTGGACATTTTGAGTGCCAGAAAGAGGATCTGAAAACAGAATAAATTGTTTGCCTTAATGTATAAATGAATTCTCATCTTTAATGATGAACAAAATAGAACATGAATACTAGACTTTGGTCTGTCTATTAGAAGCTTGTACCATGAAAGTAAAAAAGGAAGTGACCTGTAGAGATTTGTGGGTGAGATGAATGATGAGGAGGCTGAGGTGAACAAACAAGTTGGGAGTCAGCAGGCAGAGCTGTAATGGAAATAAAATATTGACATAATAATACACCAAGTTTACACTTCTTTTTTGTGTATATCTCAAAACAAGTTTACACTATGTTCTTGATAAATTTCAACAACACACTTTGACTTTTCACCAAAGGTGTAAACTACAGAGTACATTTTTTGAACGGATGGAGTAGGTAGAAAGTAAAAAATGAAAATATTATTTTTGAAAAAAAAAGAATCAGAATACAACCCTAACCGTAATGCTCTGCTTTGAATGAGGAGAACCGAGGCTAAATTAAAAATTAATCTAGTTTAACTATGAAATTCCCATCATATTATCCCGATTTTGAGTAAATAAAATGGGATGAATCCTAAGCTTCATTAAATTTAGGTTAATTTTCAATCAAAAAAACACAAAAGTCAAAAGGGCAGAGAGAGAGGAAAGCAAATTATAGCAACAAAAAAAAGCACTTACTTTGGCCTTGATCAAAGGCGATGTGATCGGGAAGTCGAGCCGGAGCGGGATCTGAGGGCGAAGACCGGGAGGGAGTGAGGGAGACTTCCGGCGGATTAGCGGAAAAGTACTCGTATGCAAAGCTAGCAGCAAGGTTCTGCGCTTCCCTGCTTGTGCGGCACTTGCTGGGCGTGGCGTGAAACGGCAAGCCATTCACGGTCACGGTGGCGTTGAATTTGGGCTCGTGAGGCGGGCCTTCCATGGTGGCGGTGTACTCCGGCAGCGGCAATGCCAGACGCTGGCACAACTCTTGCAGCTTTGTCTTGAACATTTCGGGTGCCAAAACGGAATTGGGACGGAAGAGGAGGAGGAGGAGCTTTGCCTTGCGGTCAGAGTGATGGACTGATGGTTTCTCCAAATTCTTTCTTTTACCCCGGGGATACGGCAAAGATGGACGACTGACTATAAATGGGTAAAACAACTTGTTTCGGGACCCGTCTGTAAAAAGTAAAAACGAATGTCCACGGGATATAAACAACTTGTATTATGTGCAATGCTAGGGGTAAACCAACATGGGGTACCCAAGTGTACACCAAGTCAACACAGATACACACAGATATAAAATGTCTGTGCAACACAGACACTTTGTATCTGTGTTAGTTTTGGTGTACACTTGGGGTACCCCATATTGGTGTACCCCTAGCTTAATTCCTCATATTAATCTTTCAATTGTTTTTTTGAAAAATTCATCTAAAATGGGTATTAAAAAAAAGAACGTACGTAGGCTACACACCTGGTTAACAAAATTAACATTTTATGAATTCTTATTTTATATTTTTTTATTTTTTTGAAATTTTCTTTTAAAGATTAATCTTACATTAGAAAAATAAAAATAGATATAAAAATAACAAAAATGAAAAAACACCAAAAATCAGTACAAAACTAATGCAAATAAATAAGGTAATCGATAAATACTAAGCTAAAACTAGTGCAAACTAAAAATGAAAGTATATGAAGTGGTAATTTCTAACATTTACGTACTATAAAAAGTATTAATATATTACTTCTTCTTATTGGTCAACGATGAAAATAAAAATAAGAATAAGAAATAAAAAATTATTGTCTTATTAAAACCCAAAAGAAACAAAAAATTTATTTTTCTTATTAAGAAATACCGAGTAACTAAATTGAAATTATGTTGAAGAAAGAAAATGATTTTTTTATTTTTTCCCATTTTTAGGGTTTTAATTATAAATAATTTTTTTATTTCATGTTTTTTATTTTCATTTTTTACCAACAAGAGAAAGTAATACATTAAGACTCCGTATATTGTAGTTTTGTTTTATAACAGTTTGAGTTAGTTTTTATTGATTATCTTTTTATTCATTAATTTTTTTGGTTTTAGCTGATTTTTTCATTTTTGTTATTTTTATATCTATTTTTTATTTTAATATGTTGTAAGACTAATCTTTTAGAAGAAGAAAAAGAAATGATGTAAGTAGAAACTCGTTTTAACAATCTGAGAGGTAATTCCAAAAAAAGAAAAAGATTCAAAATAAAAATTTAACAGAAATAATCTTAACTTTTATTTTGTTGCGCAAAACAAACCTTTGTTAAGTAGCCGTTAGTAGTTTAACGGCGAGTAAGGGAGCTTCATCCATTTTTTTTCTTTTTAAACTTTTTCTTTTCATTTTCTATTCATTTTTTACCAACTCAACCACCAATTATTTTCTTTTCATTTTCTTTTTATATTCTCTTCTCTTCATTTTCTTCCCTCTCATTTTCTTTCTTTCCATTTTCCACACTTATCCAAACAAATTGTAAAAGCATGTTTTTTTGGTCTTAAACTCTTAACTTTTAGTCTTTTTTATTTTTTTTTAAATTTTTATCATTGTCTTTTAATTTCTTCTAGTTTTTTTCAGTTCTTCTATGTTTCTAGTTATTTCCACTTTTTCCTTCCAATTTCTACAAACTTTTATACCCTCCAAACAATAACTCTAAAAATAATATATTTTTTCTTGTTATTATTATTATTACTAGATTTTAATAATTTATTTATTTTGTTACACCTCAATTCATTTGTGCAGTATTTTTTATAAAATAATTTATTTGTAATTACGTTTTATATATTTCATGTTTTTGTTTTAAGTATTAGAACGTCTCATTTTATGTCGAGATCTGTTGATGCGCTTATTTGAAATGAGCATCTTGATCAAATAGACTACGTAGAGTTAAATGAGCAATGGAGTTGCATCAAGGTAATGCCACTAAATAACCGAAGGACCATGCTACCCTTATACCAAAAATTGTACTCTAAAGTTACAATCAAAGTATACACTGACATTTTTATTGTTCATATTAACCCAAAATATTAATGCGTTAATAAAAATTTGAACTAACAATTTGTCTCTGTGTGAACTATTGTTGGTGATTTTAGTGCCATCGGTTTATTTTGTGTAATTGGATTTACTTAGATTGGAGAAAAATTTAAATAGACATTGTCAAACGAGTTAGGAGGCACGGAGTGCGCACTCGTTCAACGATATTACAAATTCACTACGAGGTCCGGGGGCGGCGCCCCCAGGTAGCAGGATCCAAGGGGCGGTAGCCCCTGGCGGGGTCCAAGGGGCAGAGCCTCGAAGTTTCTTTATATCAGACGTTGTTTCTATGAAAATCCTTAAGATTTTCGTGATCGGAGTCCAAAACGGTAAAAGACTCGAAGAAGTGGATAAAAACGAAATAGACCCTAAAACCGCAGGAGACCTTTCGTTTAAACTCGTGCCTTTCTTCTTCCCCGCGCGAACGTAGGCGTACGTCTACGCGGAGGTTCATGTCCGATCATAAAAATTTTCGACTCTGTAAAATAGAGTCTCGTGGTATGGATTGGGGTACCGATTTTCGAGTGCTTGTTCTTGATTAATGTTTTATCCGATTGAAGTATTTCGTATACCCCGAAATAACTTTGATCTGAAAGTGTTTCGTACGCGATTCGTTATACTATTGAGTTTTTCTTTAACACTGCTTCGCAGTGTTTTTCCATACACAATTCTAACAACTATCACTCTAGCATTACACTGACAAAAATGAAGGTGCAAACCTGCGGGGTACAAATTGAAGTACAAATTTTGAGTACACATAACATCCTACTCCGATCCAAGAAAATTGTTCCACCCTTTACCAATTATATCATGAAATTCTCCTTTCGTGGCGTTCGTGGGGGATAGCCATCCTCATTGCTTCTTAGAGCATGTGTAGTGGCAAGAAAGAGAAATGTCTTGCACTATCACATCAGTTCCTTCCTTACTATCATAGCATGGCAAGACCAAATGCCTTGCTTGGTGAGGCATGGGTAGGGCACTTCACCCTTCTTTTCTTTCTTTTTTTTATTTTTTTAAAATTCATTTATGAAAAAAATGTATAAGAAACTAGAATAAGTTTTTGATAAAATAAATAATAAATATATTTTTTTATCTTCAAAAACATAAAAAAATGTAAAAAGTGAAAAAAATAATGACTCGTCACTGTAGAACTTGCAACTCTATTCACTTGTCACACGCTGACTGAACTATTTTTTATTAGTTAAAATGTTCTATATTACCGTGTGACATTACATTTTCATTTTGCCTTTGTTGATGCTCTTAACCAAAAACTTAGAATAAATTTCGTAATTAGTCATTTATAACAGAGAGTTTCCCTATTTAGTCCTCTATTATCAAATGTTACCACAGTGGTCCTTCTTTTATGAGTATCTTTCCACAGATAGTCTTTTTTATCTTCTATCATGTTGGTGTTAATTTGAAGACTAAAAATGTAATTTCACAAAGATAATATATTTTTTTGTCATACACAATTCCAAAGGCTGTTCCGTTTGCGTCGTTTGTAAATTAGAGTCGCTTTATACTATGACCATAGTCTACAAATATGGACTTTCGTCGAAATTCTAACCCATAATCATAGTCATTATTTTTGTGTTATTTGCTTAACCAATATCAGAACACGTCACTGAACATAATGTTGATGTCAAATTATACTTTAAGCATTTAAATTAACACCAACATGACAGAAAATTAAAAAAAAGGTCATTTGTGGAAAGACATTCTTAAAAAAAGGACTACGGGAATAACATTTGATAACAGAGGACTAAATATGAAAAGAATGAATTTTACTCGAAAACTTAGGGTCCGTTTGGTATACGGAATTGATGGAATTGGAATTGAAATTCCATGGGATTCAATTCCATAGAATTGAATTATGCCAATTTCAATTCATTTTTTGCACTATCAATTCCAAATCCATATAATTTTTGTGTTACCAAACACTAGAATTGAAATTGAAGTCTTCAATTCCAATTCTGAATTGCAAGAGCCTTAAAAAATTTTACTCGAAAACTTAAAAGACTCACAATTGTGACCAAATCTGTAAATCACTTCTCCAGATTTCTGGATAGTGATTTTTAAAAATCCATCTTGAGGCAACAAAGGCCAACCTCCGCCTCGCACAACCATTGATATCAAGGAAAGGATTGATGTATCTGAAGACACCGTTTTGGAGGGACGGGACGGGCCTCGGAAGTCATAATGACTCGCAGTCGCCGGTGGCAGACCTGGTGAACTCGTTGGACAGGCAGAGGCTGTACAGGGAGATCACACTCGCACTCAGGACCGGACTTTCTGATGCGCGCGCTGAGTTCTCGTTTCTCCGAGTCCGCGGCCTTCGCGGCATCCTCAAATTCCTTCGCTCTGTGGCCGAATGCGACGCCACCACCAACCTCTTCATCCACAGCCAATCCATCCCTGAGCTTCAAGGTTCTCTCCATCATTGTTTCAATTCTTCTTTCGTATTCTTTTTATTATTATTATCAGGGAGATTCGGACGATGGCTTATTTCTCACCATTAAATTTTAATTATATCTTCTTTTCAGGTAAGGTACTGAATCAGGAATTGACAGAAATAGTGGTGTTGGCCATTAGGTAATAGAGTTTAGGTTTAATTGCATTCCTGTCTGGAAGCATAATTGGCCATTGATATTGCTCTCAGTTGACAAATCCAACCTGCCAAACTATCTTTAGAGTTAGCTGATTGACTGATTCATTCAAATCTCAAATCATCAAAGACCTCATGATTGACTTTTGGGATTTGGTTCGACTATTGATATTATGTCAAATTTGGCAGTGGTTCCAGTTCTGTTTAAACATTCACTGAGAGAACATGAGGATCAGAATGTGGCAAGTCTTGACCATATATTCACTGTTGAACCTATGAAAATAATTAGTCCATCTCCTGACGCCGAAGCTGCCTTTGCACTTAGAGTGCTGGAAGGGTGTTGTCTGCTTCATCGGGAGAGCACTGTTTTAGCTCATCAATACAAGGCCATTCCGGTGTGTAAGAATGTACAGCATTATCTTCTCTACTTGGACTTCAAAGCATTGTGATGCTATGCTTTACTTATTAACCAGGTCTTAATGAACATGTTATCAAATCGAGGGGTACTTGAACAAGGTGCATGCTTAGATGCATTGATTTCGATACTGCTGGATTCATCGGCTAATCAAATGGTATGTGTTTCTGCTTCTCTGATCCATACAACACTTCATACATGGGTGGATTTAGGGCCTTTGTCTTCAACAGCTTTTCTTGGTTGTATATATGTAGTGTATGTATAGGAAACGGTTCATCTGCCACTCTGCCCGGACAAAGAGTAAGGCACGGTTCTTGGCGGATCTCTGAGTTCATAGGTTTGTATTCATCAGACGACCCTTGAATGTCACACATCGTGTCTAGCTCTACGGCCAGAGTGCCAGACAGATAACCCTGACAGTCCGACACATATGTATGTATGTGCTTATGCATAATTTATCAAAGTTAATTTGGATTGAACCAAGGCTACATAAACATGTAATGTGTAATAATTTGGCCTTAAAATTGTTGTTATCCACTTATTTAGAAATTAGAATATAATCAATAGTAGATATGGAGTATCTAAACATATCAGCCGCATTTGTATATAAGCTAAAAGAAAATTAAGACCAAGTGATTGATTTACAATTCAAAGTTTTCATTCTTGCGATGCTGAATTAACTGGAAATCTGAAATCCGAGTTTTACCTAAATACTTATATCATCGAACAAGTTCTGCCAGAAAAATGGTACAGTGCAGTACTCTTTAAGAGACATTAGGTTTTAGGAAATTTGGTATTTACATTTCACTTCGGTGTTTGACTTAGCATCCCATGTTTTTTTTCTGACTTTGTACCCTAGTCTGGGGTGGAAAGTCAAATAGTATACTAAACATGCAGTGTGAATTGCCAAATCCATTTTTTTTGTTAGACTTTGCACCCCATGAGTTGTCCATTCCGATTTTGAGTTAATCTTCCATTGCATTTTAATTTCTATAAGGTAGTGTTGGGAACTAGCATTTCATTTCAATTCCAAAATTTGAATTCTTGAATTTGAAATGACAAGGTGAGGTGTATGGATTTCAAATTGAGCTTTGTTATGAATGAGAGGAATTTGACTCAAATCTAAATTCAAATTTTTTAGGTTTCCCAAACATAGAATTTGAACAAAATTTGGATTTGAAATCCAAATTCAAGTTCCCAAACATACCATTTGGAAGTAGCAATGCATCAAAGGTTTAATGGAAACAAGTCAAACAACCTTGACCCCCCAAACCCCAACAGAGTTGGGATTATACTAGGTTTGTTGTTTTTTCCTTACCCATTACTAGTGCCTTTCCCGGATTGTGTATTATGCTCGTTTGTG